GGGTTGGTGATTGGGAGTGTTTCGTCAAGAGTTTAGGATGGCGAATTCTCGCTCTTGCCACATAATGCAGTTCTGAACCATGAAGCCTCGTTGTTGACTACGGACAACCAGGCTGATGTAAACGGTACTACTCATTCTATGACTACACAAGATGATATCATGGCGACTGTGGTGACTGATGAAGCAGTTGTTGCACCTACAATTATGCATTCGTTAGTCCATGGCCATGATCAGACGGAATGTGAGCACAGTCTCAAGCAGGTTAACGTTAGTACTGACATAGAGAAAGATGGGGCGGAGTATGATGTTGAGGGCAGTTTGGATCCCTTGCCTATGGAGTGGATGGCATGGGGTATATTGTTGGTGGTCATAATCCCAAGTAGAAAGTCGAGTTTCAAAAAGCCATGGTCCTAGTAAGTCATGGCAAGCCGTTGGAAAAGCAAGTTGATAAGGTGGAAGGTTCTAGTTAGCGAGTGCAAGATCATGTGAATAGTGAGAAGCTTCCTCAAGCTTGAACTAGATCGCAATTAAAAGCCTCTTTGGTAGCTACTGGTGACAAGAAGGGGCTATCTTTATTAGCTACTGGTGATAAGAAAGGATTAACTCTAGTAGCTACTGATGACAAGAAGGGGTTACTCCAACAACTTTTGAAGGTAAGGTTTCCCTTAAACCTCTAATTTTATTTGTCAGTTGCAGCTTGGAATGTTAGGGGCCTTTAGGGTCAGGGCAGAATTTCGGATATTGGGGTTTTAAAAGAATAACATAACCTTGGCCTTCTTTTCTTATCCGAAACTAAGTTTCCTGTGGAGTTGAGCCGTATTTGGTCTAAAAAGTTGGGATTCTATAATAACTTTATTGCTAATGATATTGAGGGTAGATCCAGAATTTTATTCCTGTGGAATCTTTTAATTTACTCAAACAGAGTGATTGATGTAAATGATCAGCTGATAATTGTGGACGCTATTCATATTTGTAATGGACATATCTCAGTTGTTTCAGGGGTTTATGCATCTAATTATGTGTTCCAAAGGGCCATGCTTTGGGACCATATGATGGCTTTAGGAGAAACTATTAATCTTCCTTGGCTTGTATTACGGGATTTCAATACTCTATTGGATTCCTCGGATAGAGTGAGCTGTAGCAATTCTTTATCACCAGATTCAGGCAATTTTGTTCAAGTAATGTTGGTTTGTGCTTTTGCTGATCTTGGTGTAGTCAAAGGGTTGTTCTCTTGGTCTAATAGCCAGTTGAGCAGGAGATGCATTAGAAGGAGGTTTGGACTGTGCATTGGCAACTACTGACTGGGTTTTAGCTTTCCTTGAGTCCAAAATCCAGGTACTTCCTAGAGGCAACTCAGATCCCTTACTCATCTCTATTTTTTATTTGGGTTTAGTTGGGCCCAAACCTTTTAACTATTTTTTTATGTGGGAGCAACATCACGGTTTTTTGGATGTCATCTCTAATTCCTAGCAAGGCCGAGTGGAGGGGCACCCATGTATTGTTTTGTTGCTAAACTTAAGAGGCTAATGGCTGACCTTTGTTCAGCTATGTTTGGCTATGTTGGGGAATCCATTGCAGTAGGTTGACATCAACTATCACCTTGCATGAGAGCTTACGCATGGATTCTTCCAATGAGACATTCATGTCTGAGGAAAAGAGTAGAACTAGTTAAAAGGTGAGGATTCCAATGCCAAATATTTTCATCTATCGACTGTGGTGAGGAGGAATGACAGAATTATCTCCTTGAAAGATCGGAATGGGAATTTTTTGAGGCTGACATTGAAAATCATATGATTGGCTATTTCAAAGATCTATTGGCTCAGGAGAGCAATATTGACCTGCATATGGTTGATCAGTTCTTGTCGTCCTTTCTTGTCAATTCTTCTCAGAAGGACAAATTAGTGGATGCAATAAATATGGAGGAGATCAAAGCATGCATTGGGGATATGAAAAATGAAAGTGTCCCCGTCTGGATGGGTTTCAGTGGAATTCTACAAGTTTGGATGAGAAGTCATTAAAAAGGATCTTTTTCTAGCCCTTAAAAATTTCTTTGCTAAAGGTAGGCTTCTCAAGCAAATCAACTCCACTTTTGTATGTTTGATTTCTAAAGTGGATACACCTAGGGCGATGAAAACTTTTTGACCTATAGGGCTGTGTAATGTCTTGTACAAATTCATCACAAAATAATTTCTAGTCGGCTTCGAGTTGTTCTTGCTGATATTATTGATCCTAGGCAGGCGGCATTTTTTAAAAGTAGGCTTATTACAGATAATATCGTTATGGCAAATGAATTTATGTCTCTTTGCTATAGGAGTTCAGCTCGGCCTAAAATATGTCTGCAAATTGATTTGAGCAGTGCCTATGATAGGGTTTTCTGGGATTTTATTGTGTGTAGAATGCATGCTTTGGGTTTTCCTGAGTTATTTGTTTCATGGGTTCACTTGTGTATTTCCACTTCCTTCTTCTCTGTTTTGAGGAATGGCTCACCCAAGGGATATTTTAAAGGGAAAAGAGGTTTGAAGCAAGGAAATCCTCTATCTCCTTATCTATTTTTGTTGATCATGGATTTCTTTAGTAGGCAACTTAATTGTGCTATGCTGCAAGGCATGGTTCTCAGGACGTTTCCTTCAGGGTGTGACTATGGGGTCTCTCATCTATTTTATGTTGATGATGTGCTTGTTTTCTGTGAGGCATCCATTTCTTCAGCCACTGCTATGCGTGAACTTATTTTTATGTTTGAAAGGATTATTGGTCAGATTTTGAATTCATTTAAAAGCGAGGCTTTTTTTTTTTTGGTGCACCACGGGGAGGACGTTGGAGAATTATGAGGGAGTTGAAGTTCCTTGAAGGAGCCCTTCCAGTCCGCTATTGGGCTTACCATTATTTTGTGAACATCTTAGGCACAATTATTACCATAGTCTGGTGGGTAAGGTGTTCAATAAGATTGGGTCATGGCAGCCTTTATGTCTCTCATATGCAGGTCGACTTCAGTTGCTTAAGTCTGTACTCAGAGTATCAACGGTTTTCTGGCTGTTATCTTTCATTCTCCCAAAGAAAACATGTAATATGATAGAGAGACAACAGAGGAACTTCTTATGGGCTGGTGAAGTAGAGAAAAAAGGTATTCATATGATATAATGGAGAACAATGTTTCACTCAGTCTGAAGGAGGTCTCGGGATAAGGGAAATGGTGGACCTCAATATCGTAGGAATGATGAAGTTAGCATGGAGGATTTTGGAAAACCCATCCTCGTTGTTGGGACGATTCTTCAAACATCGATATTTTAGAAATTCTTCTATATGGGAGGCTGAGGCAAGAAAAGGATGTTCTTATGTATGTAAAGGGATTCTACTTGGCATATTGCACTTGAAAGGCAATATATAGTGGAATATTGGCAATGGTCAGATGGTAGATTTTTGGATGGATCCATGGTTAGCAGGTCAGTCACTATCGGATTTGCATGGTAATGACATTCAAGAGGATTTGGGAGCTGATGCAGGGAGGAGGGTTTCAGACTTTATAGGAGGTGCACCGCAATCTTGGGTTCTGCCACCTCTCACATCTGATATTTTGAGAAATATATGGAGGGAGTTTGGGAATTATACTTTTCCTCTAGGGCCCAAAAAGGATTAACTGGTCTGGATTCACTCTGCTGATGGCCTATTTTCTATTAAAGGGGCATGGGACTTTATTAGGCATCAAGGTTCATCAAAACCTATTTTCCGTGCACTGTGGTCTTCTAAATGACACACACAGGCGAAAAGGTTCTCATGGTTGCCTTGCATAATCGGTTGCCCACTTCATTTTTATGGCAGCAACGGGGCATGCAGCTGGACTCCTTATATCCCTTTTGTAGCAACCATGATATCCTTTTCCATCTATTATTTCAATGTGCTTTTGCATAGGGTGTATGGAGATCATTAGCTTGGAGATGTAGAAACAGTTTGTCCTTGGTACTTCTATCCCTGATTTACTTAGGTGGTGGTTACTTTTCAAGTTTAAATCTCATGGATTTCGTAATATTTGGTTTTCCATCTTTTTTACTGCTATTTGGTTTCTATGGGAAGGGTACAACAAAAGAGTCTTTGAGTCAAGACCTACTAGGAGAGAGCTTATTGTGAAACGGATTACCTTACATGTTCAAGCACTAGCAAAAGTTAAAAAGTGGTCTTCCACTTATCAGAAGTGGTCATTATTAATCTTCAGATAATTTGGCGTCAGCAGAGGTCAGAATCCTTTATTTCGGTGGCATGGTCATTTTTGAGGCTTAGAATTACAAGCTCAATAGTGCTTACTTGAGAAATCCAGGTTTAGCAGGTGGTGGTGGAGACATCAAGAACAAAGATGGTGGTTTCATTGCTGCTTTTACAAAGCATTTTGGTTTTGCTTCTAATAACCATGCATAATTCTTGGCACTTAAAGGAGTTCAGTTGGTTCGTCAGAGGAATTGCTTTCCAATACTGATAGAAAGTGATTCAGTCCTGCTTGTGGATGTCATTCAGAATCGATGACGTGCTGCATGACAGCTAAAGACGATTGCAGATAATTGTCGTACCAGACTTTCTTCTCATTGATGGTCCATTGCACTTGTTTTTTGGGAGGTAAATATAGTTGTTGATGCGCTCGTTAGGAGGGTATCTACTGGCCCCGGTGCCACCGTGTGATGCCATCGACCACCGGACTTTCTTCTCTTCGATGGTCCATTGCATATGTTTTTCGGGAGTCAAATATGGTTGCTGTTGGCCCCAGTACCACTGTGTGGTGCAATCAACCACCAGATTTTCTTTTTTCTCTTTTATTACATGATCTGGCCCAACCTATAAAAACAATTAGCCATTATGGCATATATGAATATTGTCTACTAATGGAGCAGCAAATGCTGTGGACTAGTTTCATGTTCCAGGCTTCGCAACCAAATTCATCATATACTGCACCTACCTGTTTCAGTTGTCATTGATTGGTGTGACTTAATTGACATTAAATTTTCTTTATTGTTCAGGTCTCTAAAGTGCATGCTCATATCACTTGCAAAGACAGTGCCTTCTTCCTAACAGATTTGCACAGTCAATACGGAACATGGATCACTGAGTAAGTGTCTCTGTGTGAGAGGGAGGGAGGGAGGGAGAGTATTTACTTTGTTTATTAGTACAATGTTTTGGATGGAAAACATTGAAACCTTCCTTATCTATGCAGTATTGAGGAGAAGCGCTATCGAGTCCCTCCCAATTTGCCTATCAGAATCCGTCCATGTGATCGTGTTGAATTTGGCTCTGATAAGAAGGTCCCTCCTCTTAACTTGTGCCTCATTCGTTTTTTTAGAAAAGATCATATAATCTGTCTTCCTTGTGTTACGATCAGTATTTTTTATATCAGCTAGTCTAACCGGTTATGCAATGCCCAATAAAATAATGAGTGGCACTGGTTGGTGGGTTACCAGCCACGAACATAAGAAATGGTTCTCGAGAAACCAGCCAAACATGACGAAGAAAATGAGAGAGAGAGATTACATTAAGAATTATATGAGAGAGATTGCATTAAGAAATAATGCTTACATATATCTGTACAGGCCGTTTTTCAAGTCAAAGTGAAGACGTTTCAATTGGAAACAACTTCAACATATGGTGAGCAAGTGCTGAATCCTGTTTAGATGATTTGAGAATTGGGGTCACCAATCATGTTTGAATGAGGCCGTTGGCTGCAAGAAGGAATGAATGGTCAGGTAAAGAGCCTTTGATTTTGGTAGGCTGTGTAATTGATATTGGTTCATTGCAACCCAATATCTTTGCCTAAACACAACTGCCGCTATTTCGAGGCTGGAGAAGAGGGAGAAGTATATAGCATTACAAAATTGTAATTAAACCATTGTTTATAAGTAAATGTTTCATGATAGGTAATTTTGGATTACGGTGAATTGAATGGGCAAAAAGCATTTATCAGTTTAGCTGCCATCTTGAATGCATATGGTGGGTAGTTACAGGAGAGGATTGATTTCATAAGAAGACTAGGATTATATCGCCTCAAGATAAAAAAAATATTAATCAATTTTGTGAGAAAATAGTGACTTGCATAATCATGTTTGTCATCCTTTTATGGGTGTGGTTTGTATAGGCTAAGGCTCTAAAACAATCTAAGTAAGATTTTATATGGATCCAATGTACTCTTTATCTTCAAAGAACGGCCCAGCATTCAATGCTAGTCGAAGCTGTTGGTTCTCAGGTTGGTTGAATACTATTAATGAGAGTGGTACTTCACTATTCCTTAGTCTTGGAGACTGAATATTATTAATGAGAGTGGTAATTCACTATTCGTAATTCTTGGAGATTTTTTAGTTCATTATGCTATTTCTCTAGATTTGCATACACTTCTTGGTTCATTATGCTATTTCTCTAGGTTTGTATACAATTACATTGATCTCAGTAAAAAATGCTTTAAGAAAGATTTTGGTTATAGTTTCCCGTTTGATGGTACCAGGTTGAGGCAGTATGATATTTTGGTTTGGGATGCATTTTGTTCGACGGTTTTTTGAATGTTAAATACCATTGGAAGGTGCCCCTTCAAAAAGTGTTCAAAGATATTGGAGTAAAGGAAATCTGTATGATGCCCTGAAAATTTGTTTTCATTTCTAATTAAAAAATTTAAAACTTGAAAATAGTGTAGATCGAGCAATTGATGATCACTTGAAAATCTTAAAAATTGATGGTCCAAAAAGTGCATTGCAAGATGCATTATTTCCAAGATTTGAAATATATATGTTTCTCTCGTCTATATAACTCGAGGTCGAGATGATTGATTTGATGATTTTTTAGTATCGAAATCACCTCTTGAGGTGCGTTTTAATGTGATAGTTTAGGGCCATACCTTTATAAAACCGTTTTTTTTTGTTTTATTAGTGTGGTTTGAATAAAGTTTTCACCTTAAACAATCAAACTTTGTCATGTAATTTTGGTATAGAAAATTATTAGGATGTGAGAATATTTGTATTTCTAATGTAAACTCAAAAAATGGTTCAAATCAATCAAATTTATAAATGCATGAAAGTCTAGAAAATAAATCGGTGCAAATAATGTGTACTATTTGTAGGACCTGATATCTTCTTTTTTTTCACATATCTAAACATCTTAATGTGCAGATGGTTAATTAGATGTTTTCCAACATCTAAACAGCAAAGGATTTTAGAGGTGCACCTTAATTTTTTTTTTGTTGAAGTCAATATTTATTTTGAAAAGAACTTTCCTCTAGGCAGTGATTTTGATTTCATTCAGCCCCAATTAGAAAGAGAGCCGACAAGAGAGATTGCATAGAGATAGCCATCACCGTTAGCACACCACTAGAGAGGGACCCCATTGTTGCCATCGTTGCTGCATGCCACAAAGCCATTGTTGTTACTGTTGCTTCAAATGCTTGTGACTACTGTAAGCATCAACACATTATGCATGGCCATCATTGAAAGTTGGACTATGTGATCAAGCACGGTGTATATAAATTAAAATTTTTTTTTTCTTACACCGACAAGACCACTTATAATGTCCAATTACAAATAAATAACTCTCAAAATGAATAAAAAAAACAAAAAAAAACATTGTTTTTACTTGTTACAACTGTTGAATATAACTCTTTAAATCAAAACTTTAACTCATTGTTTCATGGGATTGAAAGAGCTCAACAAAAAAATAAAATTTAAAGAAGTACAGTTATCGGAGATTATTTCAACCGGGTTTAGTACACCCGTGTCGAGTCTTTTCTTTCCGATAGTGCTTGGAATCTATGATCGGTCTTTTGATTCTCTTACTTATGGGAAAACGTTTTCAATGGAATATGGATCTCGATCTAAAGTCACCTACCTAAGGTATCAATATTTTAGTCTTGCTCAAGCCCTATTAGCTTGATGTTTAGAGAGATGAGAGATATAAATCAAAGAGAGAGAGATCTACTAGCTTTGTTTGGCCCCCTTTGCAACCCACTTAACTTAGGTGTGCTCCCTTTTCTTTACCAACTTGAGAGAGAGAGAAAGAGAGCTATTACTTGGGGGGTGTCCCCCTTTGAACCCACCAAAAGAGAGAGAGCTTGAATTGGGGCGTGCCCCCTCTTTTGAACTAGGGAGAAAGAGAGAGCTAGATTTAGGACGTACCCCCCCTTTTGAGAGAGAGAGAGAGAGAGAGAGAGAGTTAGTTTTAATTTAATTTAAACGTTAAGTAAATAGTATTTATTACTTAATTTAATAACTACTAATAGAACTAAATTAATTATACGAAGAAGTACTTACAAAACTAAAAACTAACTAAAACTAAAA